GCCCCGCCCCCGGGGAGCGGAGGGGCACGGGCCACCGGGGCTCCTAGCGGCCGTGTGTCCCGGGACCATAAAGGCTACTTTGTGACAACGCGTCCTCCTCAGCGCCCCGGGGCCACAGGCTTCCTTCGGGCCTCACCGCGGGCCTCAACGGGGCAGGATGCGGGGGGGGGGGCGAGGGGGAGGCTGGGGCAGCCCTTCGGGTCCCAAGCACCCCGCCCCACGTCCTCGATCTCTCAGCGCCCAGGATCCTCCTGCGCGGCCTCTCGCGGGGATCCAGTCGCGTCCCCATAGTCCTTAGGGTCCCTCTCGATTGCTCCCCGGGCGCATGAGGCTCGCGCCACCCTGTCCCTCATATCAGACACAGCCTCTACCCAGCCCAGCGTCCTTTTCCCTCGAACCTTGATGGGGTGGTGGAATCAGGACAGAGTGGTCCCTGGAAGGTTATGCTGAGCCCACAGACAGGACTTTCCCAGGCCCCTAAGTGTCCAGGGCCCCATGAGTGGCCCTGCACCCTCTTGCCCCTTGACTGCCCACGCCCTGGCTTCCAGCTGCCCACCCCAGCGTCTGCGCTCTCCCAAAGTCAGGGCCAAGTGGAAAAGTCCTCCTCCTGCCCTGCCCACACTCCCACTAGCCCCGCACATCAGACCCCATCCACCCCATCTGGGAGAAGCTGGCAGATCCCATCCCAGCTCTTTGTTCTTGGAAGAAGCCTCGCTTGAGACAGGGTGGCCCCATTTCCAGCATGTAAGAACCTGGCACCAGGAGAGGGCGCCATCCACCATGGTGGCTGGTGCCACAGGGAGACCATGGACAGAAAGGGGACTGGGGCTCACAGCCAATGGTTCCAGAGCACCTGGGTGGGCCACGGGCACCCCCCGCCTGCCACAGCCCTTCCAAACACATCTGTTGCCTGCCCAGGAGAACACTCAGGCAGGAAGGGGTAAAGACCAGCTTCTGGGGCTGGGGCACCATGCCCACCCCGGGATCAGGGTCACCTTTCTGTCAACACCCAGGGCTGCTGCCCAGCCATGTCACTTCAAGGTCACTCTCACTACCCTCTGTTCTTGCCACCCTGAGACCCCGGGCCTCTGTGCCACACTGGCCTCTGCCCCCTCTCAGAGTGCCCTGCCCAGTCACCCCCAGCTCTTTCCTCCTGTCACATGGGGCTGTGACTCCCAGTTCAGGGGCACTGAGATGTCAGCAGAAGCGATGGCACTTTCCCTGCTGCTCTGGGGACACGGAGCCTCCACGTCGAGATGTGATGAGAAGTGCCCAATGGCAGTGGCCTGCCCTGTGCTGAGGAGACCCAACCCAGCCCAGGATCCCCAAGGCCTGGACTGTATCTGCTGCACCCACACCCTTGGCAGCCCCCCGGGGCTGGAATGTCAATAAAGTTTCCAGAGATCCTCTGTGCCTATTTACCCTCCCATCCTGACCCCTTCCAGATCACCTTTACCCTGCTCAGCCCATGCGTAGGCTCCAGGAAACCTGGATGGCATGAAGCCCAGGGAGGGGAGGGCTTCGGAGCCCCCGGGCACTTGGCAGGTGAGGGGTGTTCTCCAACATTCACTCAAGTGACATGGTGGGCCAAGGCGTGAGGAGCAGGCAGCACAGCAGGGCCAGGCTCGCCTCGGGGGCATGAAGGTGAGAGGGCACCTATGGCTCACTTCTCTCCTCACCCTTGACCCCTTTCCACTCTACGCTCCTGCCTTCCTCCGTCTACCTCTCCCAGGGTTGAATCCAGGGGTTGCCTGGTAGGCGAGATTCAAGTGGTGTCCTCCACTAGCAGAAGTGATGGGGGTCAGGCTGCCCCCAGCTCTGACTGGGGGGCCCTGCCCCATCCCTGTACCCTCTGTCTTTTGAGTCCACCAGCAGAACGTCACTGGGCCAACACTGCACCCCCATTATCCCCCGGCCCTGGGGTCTGCTGAGCACCATGCTTTCATCCAAAAAGGCACAGGGCCCCCCACATCTCCAGCCCCTCTTGTCTCCAAGAAGGGGGCAACAACATCCCCCCCCCCCGCAGCTACCATCTCTGGAGAGGCCCCATCCTTGGAGCCCCTGGGAAGATGAGACAGGTGAGGGTAGAGTCTGCCTCCTGCCCACCCATACAGCTGCTCCCCTCAGCACGTCAAGAGTGAGGCCCTGCTCTGTCCTCAGGCCAGTGGGTGGAGGGGACAGGAGTAACAGCCGGTCACCTGCTCAGGGGAACACATCCCAACAGCTGAGGCCGAGGGAGGGTCCACCTGCCCTCAAGGGTCCTCTGAAGGTGTCCTGAGATGGGGTATTCAGTTCTGTCTAGGAAAGTTTTCCCCTGCCCCCGAGTCAGACTGCATGAAGGGAGGGGTCCTTTCCAGCCGGATGAGTGGAGGCTGGGTGGGCAGCCAGCTGTGGCCGGAAGCACTTCTGGGAAGAGGTGGCCTCTAGGTCCTTATCTCAGGCTGAACACAGATCTGGGGAGGGGTGGGGGTTGTGGTTTCCGGAAGAGCTGGAGAGCTGCTCCTGGGGTGAGGGTTCCTAGGGGCTGCCATGAGGCCCTGAGCTGGCCTGGGCCACCCAGAGGCTCACCACCATGTCCCCTGCCAGTGTCACCAGCAGTGGCCCTGGCAGCAGGATCTGTAGGAGAGTGCAGGCTTCTTCTCAGGAAATGGTGGCTCTGGCAGGTCTCTGCAGAGGCAGCAGCACCTTCCTCGCTCTGGCACTCCTGAGCTGTATCCCAGGGAGCTTCCCCACCACCCCCAATTGCCCTCCAGCCCATCCCTTGCCTCAGGGCCCTGCCTAGCTGGCAAGCAGGGGGACCTGTGGGATGGGGGCTGGGCAAACCCAGGGCACAGAAGTACCAGGCTGCCTGTGGAATCCCCCACCAGCTCTGGTCACTGGCTGCCCCATAGTGACATCATGAGGAGTTTCCAGCACCGTCAGCCCAGCCTCAGTGCTTCCTGGGGACGCCCCTGTGGTATCCTGTGGGGAACAGGTGGCTCAAGCCCTTTCTGGCTGGCAATGTAGGCTGGATTCCTCAGCCCCACAATGAGGGGGTTCCACGGCAACTCTAGAGTGTTTGCCAAGCAGGTGTCCCTTGTTCAGCATGTGTCCAGGTGTCCCCGTAGCCCTTTGGCTCCTCAAGTTCTGGGTCCCAACATCCTCCACCCCATCAGGCTGGATGAGCCTCCTTCTCCGTTCTCCCAACTGTGCCAGGGGCTGTGACCACCACCCCCAGGACAATGGACATCCCTTTCAGTTGGCCTGCTGCAGGCTGGGCCACCACTGCCCACACACCATCAGGAAATGATGGAGGTTGAAGGCAGGTGAAACCCAAAGGCACTCATTGGGAGGGGGCTGGGGCACCCCAGGGGGCCATGCCAGGCACAGGGAGGCCTCAAGGGCGCTGCTGAGACAGCTGTGCCAAGATCTTGCTATCAGATCTCTCCAGGAACACCTGGGCTAGGCGGGACCTGGAGCTGAGCCCCAGAGAGCTAGAAGGGGAGGAGTGGGTTTGGAGACCACCTCACACCAAGGGTGCTGGGGTGGACACCAGCCAGGCCCTGGGTTGAGCAGAGTGAAGCAAGGTGGACGCCCCGGGCATAGCCAGAAACCAGTCTCTATGAGCATGCAGAAGGGCAGTGGGCACAGATGCCCAACACAGGCAGATGGCTTGGGGTGGGGGGTTGGATAAGAAGCCAAGAGGCCAGGTAGCCAGCACGGACCCCTCCGCCAGGAAAACTCCTGAGCCCATGCCCTGCCAAGTGCTTATGCCCAGACCTGGAACCTCTGTCCTGGGGAGGGGACCTGAGCTTCAGTGGACGAGGCCCTTTACTCCCTGCCCTTCCTCCTGCCCCCATACATGTCAACTTAGTCACTACACAAGTGTTTATTGAGAACAGGGCTGCAGCCAGGGTGGGCCCAGAGGGCCGCACTGTTAGGGAGAGCAACTGTGGCACTGTCTCTGCCACAGAGCCCCACCATGGCCACCCCCTTCTGTGTAGCTGGGGTTGCAGCACTGGCCCTGTCCTCCGCCCACTTCCACCATCACAGGGAGCAGGGCCGGGCCCAAAGCAGAGGACTTGCTCCAGGTTGGCCTGGATGAGCTCCAGAGGGCCTGGCTTGGGTGCAGCCGCTCCTGGGGATGGCCAGGCCTCATACCCACTGGTCCCCCAGCCGGCCCTTCTCCTCCAGCCGCTCCCCCCGCTCCTCCTCAGGGAACTGGCAGCTGCAGGTGTCCTCGGCAGGTGGTGGCGGCAGTACCTCCAGCTGTGGCTGGGTCTCTGCAGGGGGCTGTGGTCAGCAGGCAGCCTGGGCCCCCCTCCCACTTCCCCAGGACACAACTGACCTCGGGGCCACGCAGGCTGCTGCCTTAGTTGCCAGATGTGCAAGCCCAGCTGGATGGTGGTCAGGACAAGGAGGCAGCAGGCCACGACAAGGAGGACAGTAGTCAGCTGGCTGTGCAGCTCCAGGGGCAGTGGCCCTGGGAGGCACACTGCGTTGTGGGTCTTGTTTCCAGGGAACATCGTGAGAAACCCAAACTGGCCACAGCTGGGACATAGACAGAATGTGTCATCCTCAGCCCCTTGCAGCAGCCCCACTGGGAGAGACAAGAGAGCTCCCTCATGTGGGACTGGGCCACCCGGCTGTGCCCACTTGGGACTCACTCTGCCCAAGGTTTGCAGCGGCCCTGACGGTCCTGGGAGAAGGTCCCCACAGCACAGTTGACACATGTGAAGCCATATTTGAGCTTCCCTGGGGGCAGACAGACAGACAGGCTGAGGGGTTGCTGGGGTGAGTGAAGAGGGGTCTGACCCCACAGGTCATCATCTGCCAGAGGTCTCTGATGCCTATAGAACTGTCGTCTTGGCTAGTCAGCATCCATGAATGCCCATTCCAGGGCTGGCAGGCAGGGGAGGTGGCAGGGCCTGGACTGCAGAGTGGGGGTCTGAGAGCAGTAGGCCCTGCCCCCCACTTTCACAGCAGGGAAAGCCCAGAATAAGAGGGAGAAAGGCTCCTGCACAGCTGAACTACAGGCACTCGAGGGCCCTTGAGGGTGCTGGTGCCCATCTGGAGGGTGTCTGGTTCCCGGCACTCTGGCTGGGCTCTGAGTCAACCCCTGGTCTGTTGAGTTCTTGCAAAGCCCTCACCTTTCGGCTGTGCCTCCATGCCCGGCGGACAAGGGTGGTACTTGCAGGTCTGGCAGTCTGGGTCACCGCAGTGGTACTCCGGCTGGACACACTCACAGTCCCTTATAGCATAGGTCTTGCCTGGGTGGGGACAGATCCTGTGCTCAGCAGCTAGGTGAGCCCCATCCTCTCTAGGACTCCCTCTGGCCTTGGTCCAGTTCCTCTACACACCTGGCCTGGCCCTCCCCACTGCTCTGAGCTGCTCCCAGGGTGGGTACAATGTCACACATACCTGCTGGACAGAGCCATCACTGGGGGACTTCCTGGGGATCCTGGATCCGGGGCCCACAAGCCCTTTGACTCCTGTACAAGCCCCCTCCCAGGCCCCAGGGATACCTCAGGGGCTCTGCCAGTGTAGAGTGTCAGATAGGGCAGTTTCCTGTGATCTTCCTCCCAGACAGCCCCTCACCCGCGGCTGCAGGTCAGAGGCAGCAGGCAGGGCAGAAGCGGGTGCTGGAATCTCAAGCTGGGCGGGAAACCCACACAGCAAGACCCCAGGCCCCTCTTGGGAAGACTCCCCTGCTCACCTCCAGGCCCTCAGGCCACTGGCCCAGCGATACCTCTGCCTCCCTCTGGTATCCCACTTTGCCCACCAGCCAGTGCCACCCAGTGCCCGCCCTCCTGGGCCACCATAGGCTCACCCATCCCCAGCTCCACGCACTCGCCTCACCCGGGGCAGTCAGGCTGCAGCACCTCAGGTTGGTCCCTGTCCCGTTGAGGAAGCGGCCTGGGCCACAGGGCCCCTCGGCAAGGCATCGGCCAAAGCTCAGCTCACAGAGCAGCGCGAGCCCACACAAGGCCGCTGGCAGCCCCATGGTGCCTAGGCCCCGCGAGTGCCTGGGGGTTTAGCAGCCTGGACCTGCTTGGCCCCGCCCACACCCCGCCCAGACCCCGCCCAGACCCCGCCCAGACCCGCCTCCGGCGACCTGGCCACCTCTGGCACGCTCCACCTTCAGCTTCCTAGGGCGCCAGCGGGGGTGTTCCTCGGGGCTTTTAAGGACTTCTGCCCCCGGGTAAGCGGTGGGATGAGCCCATTCACCCCTTCTGTGTGTAGATCTTAGCCCTTCAGCCTCACCCGCTGCTGAGGAGCCTGGGAAGCTTCCGGAGCAGTGGGGACAGCCCCTCCCTGGCCTCAGTGAGACACAAAGGTTACCCCCATACACACCCTCCAAGCCCCAGGCAACAACACCCCCTGCCCTCTCAGCCCCGCCTGGCCCCTCCTCCCACCTGTCTCCCCCCACGGCCCCTGGGTACCCACTGGAACTGTCCTGCGGGGCATGGGGCACCCTAGACCCCTTCTTGGAGCCCAGCAAGGAGTGCTGGACAGACCCAGGGTGGCTGCTCCCCTTGGGTGGAGGAGGCCTGAGGTGGTTAGAGAAGCGGTTGGGGCAGGGAGTCAAGAGAAAGCCAAGGGGCGACAGGGGTTACATGGGCAGCCAGGGCCAGGGCCAGGCAGTCCAGCACCCCAGGCCAGCCCCATGCCTTGGACTGCGGCTAACAGGATGACAGCAGGCCATGCTCTGAAGGATCCTCACAGTGCAGCTGAGTGAAGGACCACCCAGCACCCAGGTGTTTCTGACCTGTGACAACTCCTGACACAGGACTTGCATTAAAGACCTCATCCTTCTCGTGGTGTTGGTTTTCCTGGCCTGGCTGGTTCCATACCCACTGACCACTTCCAAATGGATGGTGCTTCCTGCGTGAGTTCTGCCAGGCACCCGTCCTGACAAACACTCCCTGGCTCTCATTCGCTGGGGGGTCCCCATATGGCCAAGGTCAGCTCTTGGACCGGGAACTTCAGAGTGGGATCACAGCACCTTCTTTGTCCCTGCAAGCTGCTTTAACTTGCTGTAGGTGATTTGTCCAATCTGCTGTTGCCGGATGTCGAGGCTCCTACCTCAGGACTGCTGTGGACACTTGCTCACGCCACAGGGCGCAAAGGACAGTTTAGCTCAAGCAGCCAGGGGTAGTGGTGCATGGCTACAATCCCAGCACTCAAGAGGTTGAGACGGGAGGATCACCATGAGTTTGACACCAGCCTGGGCTATACAGTGAGTTCAAGGCCAGCCTGAACTACATAATGAGACCCTGTCTCAGAAACAAAACAAAAGTTTGGCCTCAAGCAGAAGCCTCCTGTTTTCCAAAGTGCCCGACTCTTGGAATGCTCCCACCCTCAAGAACACAGGGACAGTGGCCATCACTATGAGGGACTCCCAGGGTGGGGCCCAAGGGGTCTTGGGCTGCCCCTTACCAGGTATAGCGGTGGTATGGCTGGGGGCTGGAGAGAAACAACAGTACTGGGTTCTCTCCAAGAGTTTCAGAGGCTGGGAGGGAGCCCCTCGTGGCCAGGGCCCTGTTCTCATCAACTCCTGGCCAGCTTCCCTCCCAAGGGGCCCAGGTTTTAGGGTCCACCTGGAGCAGAGGCTCTGGAGTCTGAAGAGGTGCCAGGTTTGGGCCCCCAGCACTTTCATGTTGGCATTTTCAGGGCCCTCACATCCCATGCCCCCTCAAGTAGACTCCACCTCTGCTCTCATCTGAGACCCTGCCCCAGCCAAGGAGGGTGAGGGCAACTGTAGACTTGAGGTTGCCAGCACGTTTATTGGAGCACCATCTGGGCAGGTAGTATGCACAACATACATAGAAACACCCAGAGCCAGCCCAGCGCCTAGAACGGCGCAGAGGATGCAGGCGGTCGGCCTGCTCCTGGGTCACCTTGCCCACAAAGCCCCCCACACTGCTCAGATCTTGGCCAGGGTAGAGTATACGTCAGCCTGCTCTTCTTGGATGGGCTTCCGGAAGCTTTTTCCCCCTGGGAAGGAGGGGAGAGCGGGAGGTTGTGGTGTGGATAGGTCCACCTCTAGGACAGGGGGCAGGCCCATGACCACTGCTCACCAGGGGGTTTAGGGGCACCAGGTGGCATCCAGGTCTTTTGGTAGAGGTAAAGGACTAGTAGTACAGCCATGGGAACCAGCAGGCCCAGGCCCAGACCCAGACCCAGGATGGCAGCCAGCACCAGGCCTGCAAGGAAGGGCCAGCTGAATAAATCCAGGAGGCCAGCAGGCAGCTTGCAGCCTCCTGGCCTCTCCCTCCTCCCCTCCTGGGCATGCCCTCACCCCTGGGGGCCTCTGAGGGTGGCATGAAGGGTCCCTGAGAAGTCCTGGGCCAGGCTGCAGTGGGCTTGGACATGGTGGGCTGGGCCATGGTGGGCTGGCTCATGGTGGGCCTGGCCTTGGTGGGCCTAGCTGTGGGACCGTGGGTCTCCCACAGCAGAGTGGCCAGGGGACTCCTGTCCTCACAGATGGCACCCGAACTGCTGCTGCCTTGCTTCAGGGTCTGTTTCCCAGCCGAGGCACAGCTGAGGGGCAGGGACAGGCGATCAGGCTGAGACAGTGATGGGGTCCACACTGGTCACCACAGGGAGCCTCAGACTGGCCAAAGGCAGCCAAGGATCCCTGTCCGAGCCTCGCCTTCCTCTCTATGGCTCACCACATCAGCCCAGCCCGTGCTGTTCAGCTGGGCCTTGGCACCCCGAATCACCAGGCACTTCTGCCAACCCACAGGGGAGGCCTAAAGAAGATGAGTGGCCTGCAATGGGTGACAGAGCCTGGCACACTCCTGGGGTGAGGGCTGGGGTCTCACACACACACACACACCTCTGGCCCTGCTGGGTGCCTCACACACACACTGCACCCACAGGGACTTCTGTAAGGCCGTAGCTGAAGGGCGGACCCCAGGAGCTCCCTGACCACCAGCTGTCTGGTCCCAGATCTGGCCCACTGCATAATCAGGCCCCATACCCAACTCCTGATCCCAGGTCCCTGGGCCTTCCCAGTACCCTTTCCCCAATGATACTTACTCAGTCCATGGCCTACAGGCCTGATTGCTGCCCAGGGAGAAATAGCCAGGAAGGCATGGCGTGCAGTCTGCAGCAGACACCGAACTCTCAGCTGCCTGATGGTGCCAGGGGCCTGGACACTGCAGCTGCTGAGGTGCGGCCCACAGGGCTGGGTGCTCACCCCATGGGGAGTGGAAAGCAGAGAGACTGGGGCTGTAGAGAACCCCCCCACCCCGCCCACACTCGGGCATTGGGCCTGGCCAGGGAGCTGACCAGGGCCCAGTCTTGGCCCAGCCTGCTAGGGCTAGCAGCAGTGTGTGAAGTGGGGCCATGGCCCACTTACATAAAGGCCATGGCTGAAGAGCCAGGGTCCATGGACATTTGCAACCCTGCAAACACATGCCGCCCCGCCAGGGCCATCCTGAGGCTCACCGACTCCATGCTTGAAGCCATCCAGGGGCTGGGTGCCAGGCCTGCAGTGGCAGACAGTGTCCTGCGTGGCTGTGCAATTCTGCTTCACTTCACTCCCGCTTTCTGGGGGATCAGGTGGGGGAGTGGATAGGGCCCACAAGGGCGAGCTTGCCTCCCATCAGTGCAGGTGCAGCCTCACCCCAGGGCCCTCTGCAGGCCCTGAGGGAGACCCTGGGCTCCACCCCAGCCTCTCCACCCATCTGCAGCCTGCAGCACCAGGGTCAGGACCTCCAGGGTTCCCATTCTGCCCCGCCCAGCTCAGGACAGGCCTTGTGACCAACACATGCTCCACACAGCCTCTATGTGGCTCAGGAAGAGGCAGCATTGCCTGGGACAGCCCTCACTTCTACAGAGACCCAAGGGAGGCCAGCCTGGTCTAGCCTTGGTCTAGCCTTGTTTCTGTAGGCTCCTGGAAGGTGGGCACCCCATGTGCCCACACCCTTGTTGGGCAGGACTAAGGTGTGGGGTCAGGGGCTCACTCCGGTTGCAGTATGTGCATGGCTTGCAGTCCTCATAGTTGACAGCTTCATTGTAGAAACCAGGGTTACATGGGCGGCACACACTGTCCATCGTACCTTTGCAGCGCCTCACCATCCTGTTACCTGCAGCAGCTCTAAGTCAGGCACACAGCGACCAGCCTTGGCCTGCAGAGGCTCAATTCCTGGCCCCGCCCCCGCCCCACCCCTCCTGGCAGGCCCAAGTCCACTCACCCCATGACACCAAACCTATGTCACCACCATGTCCCCAGCCTGAGGCCAGGCCACTTACCTGGTTGGCAGTCATGACAGCACATGTGGCCGTTATAGTAGGTGTCCCCGACACAGTTGTGCCCAGCCCTGGCGCTAAGCACCAGCCCCAGAAGCAGGAGGGCACAGGCCCCCACGCACATCCTCAGCCGCGTTCACAGGAGTCTGGGGTTTTTCCTTGCAGGATGTGGCTATAAGGGCTCTGGGGGAAGGGCGGGGAGGGCCGGGAGGAAGATGCGTGAGCATGCTCAGGCTGTGCTAGTGTGTGAACGTGTGTCCCTGTCCCCTACACACAGACCCATGCTGGGACAGGGACATGTGCGTCCCCTCAATGGCCACGCTGTCTCCTGGAAAACTCTGGCCCCCAGCAACCCAGGGAAGAGGGTCATGCCAAGGCCACTGCTAAAACAGCTTGGTTTAGCAAACTCCTGCAGGAACAGAAAGATGGACCCCCTGGGCATTTCTGTTCTTGGCATGGCCCTGGATAGTCTCACAACCACTTGGCAAATATGGGGGGTGCACAGGCACCCATGTACACACCTTTCCTGTGCAGGCAGAGGGACACATACATCCTCACACTTTCTTATATGCAGACCCTGATATCATGCTGCCCTAAAGGAACCCAGAGCCAGAGGCGGCTGGGGGGCCTCTGTCTCCTTTGTGCCTGTTAAATTGTGCCCTGATGAGATCATCTATCCCCAAGTTAATGGCAACAAATGCCACAGGGACCCCAGCCCCCCTCCCAGGATGAGCAGAAGGAGAGGCTGGAAATCCCCCACCCCCAGGGACACAGGTGAGAGCAGAGGCCCTGGACTACCTAGGTGAAATTCCCAAATGTGCCATGCTGGCAGGGGGTGGAGAGGCCATTGCTGGGCAGAGGGGCCACCGTGGAGGTACTCTCTCCAAGCCCCAGATGGGCAGAAGCCACACAGCAGTGCACACCAATCCCATCCCACAGGCCGTCAAGGAAGGGCCACTCAGCTTTCATACCCCACCATCCACCCACACAATGGAGAGAAACCTTCTGCCGAAGGGTCCTTCTGGGGCCTGGGGTCCTGGTATGCAGCCCCCACCCCAAGGCACTCCCTCCTTCCCTGGCTGCCACTCTGGTTCCTGCTGCCCTTGGCACTGCGCATCTGCCCACAGGACATCTGCCCACAACCTGTACTGCACCATAACCCACCCTCCAAGGGTTTGTGGGGGGCACGGGCCCCTCCTGTGTGACCCTGGTGTATCCACCCAGGGCCCCCACATCTCTGGGAAGACAGAGTACCAGGGAGCAGGGAAAAGCCCCATGATTTCCTTCAGCACAGCTGGATCACGGAAGGCTCATACAGCCCCACAAACTGCTGCCCCTCAGGTACCAGTCAGAGGTAAACAGCCTCTGAAGGACGGGGCAGGCTGCACCCTGGGTTGTCAACCTTCCCAAGAAACCCAACAGCCATGAACCTCCTGGCCCAAGGCCACAGCCAAGCAGAGGAGCTGGCAGCAGTGGCTGGCAGGGCAGCCTACACCCCAGGTGCGGGCACTGCCTTCCCACCACTGCACCCAGCCTGGGCTCTGAAGCCTTGTCTGGAAACCAGCCCAGGTGCCAACACAGCTCCAGAGCAGGCAGCTCCCCTCATGCTGCACAGCAACCGCCCATGGGCAGGGCAGGGCCACACTGCAGCTGAGGACAGAATTGTGAGGGTGGAGGTGGCCGCCACCCGTCAAGGGATGGTGCCTGGCACACAGCACAGTGCCTTGTGTGGGTGTACAACTCTGGCTGGACCCTCTACTAAGACAGCAGCCCAGGCCTGTGCTAACCCCAAATCCTACTCTGCTGGAGTTGGCAGGAGCCTCTCTCACCCTGTGTGGTCCCCTTCTGTCCCCTACAGGCCTCAGATGGACCAGCCAAGGCCATCGGATCCCAGCGTCACTTCTATCTCTGGAAGAATCAAAACATTCAGCAAAAGCTGCAAACCCCCCTGACACCAAATCGCCCACCTCAAAGGCTTTTAGTGGAAGCCACCTGGCCACAAAATTTTTTTTTTCACCAAAAGAATACAGCGGTGAGAAAAAGGCAACTGTATTTTAAAGTAAACTAATGATTCCTGTGACAAGTCTCTTTCTCAGAGACTGCAAGCTGAGGAGGACCCCACCCCACACACCCCAGCCCCAGCCCAGGAAGGAGGCGGCGCCTTCCGCGCTGCCTGGCTACTCATTTCCAGCAAAGTGCGTCTAGTTTCATCTTAATCTTTCAGTTTTCAAGGAAACAGCAGGAGCTGTGTGATTTCCCACGGTGGCCACCCCAGAGTTCCACGCCCTGACATGATCAGTGCCTTCAGCAGGGCTCAGCAGTTCTCAAAAGCAGAAGCAGCAGTCAGCGCACAGGACAGAGACACTGCCAGGTGACCGGGCAGGAGGCAGCCTATGGGAACAGGCACCGCAGAGGGACACAGCCTGCTAAGCACAACTTTAATAAACCCAGGCTGTAGCACAGCCCCAGCTGAGCCCAAGCATGTAGTCATGGGCAGCAGCAAAAGGGAGGTTCTAGGGTGCTCCTGGGTAGGAGACCAGCGCTGGCCCTGGCTATGCTGGCCCATGCCCCCTTGGGGGCAAGGGGGCTGCAGGGCCATGGTGTTCAGAACTCCTCATGCACATTGCGGGCGTAGTCCATCAGCTTGCTGCCCGTGAAGAACTCGCTGTACTTGAGGATCTCCTCAGGCTCCAGGTGGTGGTTCTGGTTCTCATCAGCAATGGCGATCATCTGCTTGGCTTCGTTGAGGGCATTATACTCGTTCATGGGGTCCATGTAGGTCTGTAGTGGAGCCAGGCATGATCAACAGCCCTTTCCTAGCACACCATAACCACATGGCCCCATGGGTCCAGCCCAGGTTTTCCCAGTACCTGGGGGACCTGGTCTCGAGATGCCACCATCAACACCATGCCAGGGTGAAAAGTAGCACTTTCTGCTTCTGTGGAGAGGTGGCCTGGCTCTACACAGAGACCACCTATACAAGCAGGTCCTGATTTAAAATGCTGCACTAGCCATAGGCTGGGCTGTGGACATGTTCTGGAATGTTCTAGAAGGATAAGAAGGATACCTACCTAGTTCTACAAGGAGCCCTGAGCACAGAGACTGACTTAGCCAGTGGCAGAGTGGGCCCAGCTGTCTGCCAACACCCTTGTACTGGTGAGACCTCCAACCCCAGCCACACTGACTTGGCTATTGAGGGGTCAGAAAGCACTGGTGTAGACCCAGATGACTCACACAACAGCAGGAAAAACAAGCCCAGGCAGCACCCACGCAGGAGCTCAGTGGAAACAGTTAGGAGGAAGGGGTGGGGCCTCCAACCCACATGGCAGAGGGTGGCCCTGCCCCAAGGTCCTCACAGCTGCAGCCAGCCCAGTGGCCACTCAAGAATTGAGGTTGACAAGTTCTCTTCTGGTCCCGTAAGAATCCCAACATGAGGCTAGGGTGCAGTTCAGGGGCAGAGGGCTTGCCTGGCACATGTAGGCCCTGGGTTCCAGCCCTAGCACCCAAAAACAAAAAGGAAAGGCCCTCCATAACACCTCCCACAGGCAATGCAGCCATGCAGGATGCAATGGAAAGCTGCTTTCCAGGCCCAGTGGCCAAGTATTGGGGACAACCTGCTGAGCACAACACTGACTCCATATGGCCCCAGGTCCTCATGCAGCCACATAGCCAAGAGGCTGCCAAGCAAGCATGTGAGCAGCTGGCCTTCCCAGACCGTCAGCACCAGGCAGCCCCCTCCACGGCCACCTCACGCCAGCTCCCTTTCCTTGGCAGCCATGATGTGCGTCCAGCTGAAGGCACAGGAACACAAGCAGGCCCCATCACAGCTTATGTCTAGATGCCTCTCAAAGCCTCAAGTGGCCATGGGTGGGGCTTTTCAGAAGTAGCTGAACTAGAGTGTTTGATGCTGGGACTAAGAGTGTGTGATCCCTAAATTAGCCCACTAATTCGTCTGCTATAGCTCTAGGTGTGCAGATACTCATACCCAGGGTGTGAGTGCTACCTGCCGTAAGGGTATGTAGCCTGGGTAGAATAGCTGCTGCTTACTGACAGCTACTTTGCTACTTTGCTGCTTTGTTGCCTTCCTGCCTCCTGCCCACCATGAACTGTTTCTCCTCTGTGATCCTCCTCCACCCACCAACCTGCCTTGGAACTACCAGCTGAAACCTCTACAAACTGTGAGCCACCATAAACCTCTCCTCCTTTAACTCTGGGTGCCGGGTATTTTGTCTCAGAGACACACCCTCACTCACCTCCAGCTCCTCCATGGTCACAATCCCATCATGGTTGGAGTCAATCAGCTCCTCAAACTCTTTCTTCCTGTCTCTGACCCAACTGTCGTCCATGTCCTGGCCCTGTTGATTCTCGACAGTGCCCACAGGCAGGGAGATAAACTCAGGCAGAGAGAGCTGCTTGTCTCCGTCCTGGTCTGTGAACACAGGGTGGGGAGGGACAGACACTTGCAAGTGCCTCACAGTAGACACCGGTGGGGAAGCTGCCACATTTGGCTTGTTAGATTGTGGCCTGCTTGGAGACCTGGACAGGCCTGGCCCACCCTCTCTGGCCTGGAACCTGTGGGATGACACAGCCTGGCATGGGCACAGCCTTACCCAAGTCCCGGACAATCTCCTTGACCATGAACTTGAGCATGCCCCGGCTGTGCTCAGGGTGAAGGAAAGACAGGAACTCATCCTCTGTCAGCAGCAAGTCTGCAGGGGGATTGTCTGCCTGGTACCAGCGGTCTTTGAGGTTCTCAAGGACTTCCTGTGCTGAGAGAGGCATGCCTGTGGGCACCCCAGTACGCAGGCACCAGAACACATACCCAGGAGATTCCATGGTGCTCAGCTCAAGCAGCCCACATGTGGGACAGCCCACCCAAGAGAGCCTGGGCCCAGAAGGGTACACACAGCTCTGACCCCCGCCAGCACTGGTCTCCCAAGACACGACCCAAAACCCTGAGACACAGCCCAGAACCCCAGAAACACACAGCTCAGACTCCCAGACATGGCACAGAACCCTGGAATGGCCCAGAATCCCTTGCACATGGTTCAGAACCACCAACACACAGCCCAGACCTCTGAACATGGCTGAGAATCCCCCCAGTTGTATGGCCCAGGACCCTGACAGGGCCTAGGACCCTTTAGAGAGCCAAGAACCCCTCCAGATACAGCTCAGATGCCCCACCTTTCTGGGCGTACCCCTGGCTGCTTGTTCCTGGTAGAAATGGAAACTGTGCAAGGCTGAGTCACCTCAGCAATGTCTGTAGGAACAAAGGTGTCTGTTTTGTTCCTCTACCTCTTCAACGTGAAGCACTGCTTGGAGGACGGTGCAGCAGAAAACCCCATTTCTAGAAATGACTGACACTGTACACAGAGCTTCCACTGGGCCCTGGGTGGAAACACAGCATCCCCACCACCCTGGGACCCACAATGGCCAGCAACTAGGTCCTGGTGTCCGGGCCTCTGAGGCTCAGTTGGGCTCAGCCCCATCACTTCTTGCTGTCTGGTCACAACAGACAGCAAGTGGCCACCGCGCGTCCGTGCTGACCTGCAGTCTAGCCTGTGACAACCTAAAGAAAGGGGGAGCCACGGGTGCTGGTCCATGTCTGTTGTCCCCACAACTCAGGAGGCTGAGACAGGAGGACAGCTGAAGCGCAGAAGTTCAAGGCCAGCCTGGGAAATGTAGCAAGACCTTACTTGATGAAAACAAGATTAACACAGAGGGCACCGTGGGAACTGGGAGCAGGTGACCACAGGAGGTCTCGGTGCTCCTAAGAAAGGGTTCTGCTTCTGTTCTGCTCAGGTGAGCTGCACACCAAAGACCAAGGGCACAGGGCACGATGCCAGACGCACTCACCCTGTGTGACCAGGTACAGGAGACAACGGTGCGATGACAGACCACAAGTGACTGAACAGAGAAGAGGACCCCACCCTAGGCCACACCAGACCAGGGCTGCGGAGGGGTCATAGGTCCACAGCAACAGCCGGGGCCGTAAAGTGGGCTATCCACCCCCACCCCTGGCTCTGACGTCCCAGGTGAGGGTTTCTTGAGGGCCCTGAGTGAGGTAGGATCAGGCAGAGGTGCCCACTGCCTGCTCCTGCCTCTATCGCTGCTCTTCTGCTGTCTCTGGCCCTCCTCCTCCCTCACTCTGTCTCAGGGCTTGGCACAGGCTGCGCCCTCTTCATGGAACCTCCCCATTGAAGTGCTAAGTCCTCTCTCCCTCCAGAGCAAACCACCAGATCTTGAGCACCCAGCCATGGCAGGGGCCCATCCTACGCCTTACAGCCCTGGAGTCCTCCTTAGAACCTAACCAAGTAATGACACTGACGCGTGGAGTGACCATCAAGGAGCTCTACCAGGCAGGTAGAACACCAAGAGCGGCCAGACAGACATTGCTCTGCCAAACCCAGGGAACACTCGGGCCAGAGGGTCATCAGTGCTGGCCTCCCCCTTCCCTCTGACAACTGACATCCACCCCTGCTGGATCACATACCCCACAACGTGTGTGGCCCGCACTCCCTCGAACAACCTAACAAGCTCAACCTGCCTGGCCAGGCATCTCTCTGCCACTCTGGGCCACCCGTCTTCCCAGCACGGCGACCCTGGCACTCACTCTCCTCATCCACCTTCAGCTCCTCACGGTTCCTGATTGCATCAGCAACCTCTTTCTCATTGTGGCCTTTGCTTGCCAAAAACTTCACTTTGTATTCATCCCAGGACACGTGGCCTAAAAAGGCAAATGGCACCTGTCAGGATGTTTAAAATTTCTGAGCTACAGGCAGTCAAGGGATATAGGCCACCTGCCCCAAATATCCCGCCAGAGCAATCGTCTGGGGGTGGAGGGGCCAGAGCTCAGCTCCTAGTCCTGCCCAGTGCCCAACACCCACTTTCCAACCTGCAGAGCCACCAGGGGCCTCCACCCCTTGGGGCCAACAGAGGCACAGGCTGGCTGCACATGGCAGGAACAGCGCCAGAGAGAAGCCCTAAACTGATAATAAACTGTGGGCTTTTCTAGTTAAGACAACTAGGTCCCACCTGGTCCTTGCTGTGTATCCTCTATCTTCAACAAATAACCTGAATGAAGAACCAATGCTGGTGGAGACTGGCCCTCCCAGCCTGTGCCTCAAGGACCCCGCTGCCCCGGTTTCCTGTATTCCCTGTCCTCCAGCCCAGTGCCCTGTCCAGCAGGCCTCTCCCACCAAGGCCAGGCACACTGCTGCCACTGTGGCACCTCTTGCCCCACTTGGGTGGCATAGGCCCCTGTACCGTCGCCATCAGGGTCCACAGCCCGGAAGTGCATCTTGTTCTCCTTCACGGCTTCCTGGAAGTGTTCAGCTGTTTTCTCCATGATCCAGCGCTGCATCTCCTTAGCACTGATCCTCCGGTCTGTGTTCACGTCCACTCTAGTTGAAAAGATGGCGGGCAGAGGTCAGACAACGCCCTCAGGACCCATGACAGAAAGATGGACACTGCTGGCCCCTGGGCCTCCACAGGGAGCTGCAACCTGGTCACTAGCAGGGACACAGAAATCCAGGGGGCCTGGGGGCTTGCTGGGGGATTTGGAGGAGAGTAGGGGCCTCAGATACAGTGAGGGGGTGGTTAGTTTGGTCTGCAGCTGCCCCTCAAAGCACAACAGGCGGAATCATCACCCAACCTCCTCCAACCATGGCTTCCAAACATGTTCTCCACATCCTATATCACTTGATCACTCCATCTACAGTTTCAGGATTGGGGGGAAGTTCCTTCAGGGACCTAACACTGTGTCTAAGATGCGGGGAGGCCTGGGACTCAGGACAACACGACTCAGACAACAGGAATTCCCAAACACACAGAACAGGCAGTCAGAGGAGCCCTGGGAGTCACCATAACTGCAGAGGCTGTCCCCAGGCAGTCCCTGGCCACTGGTATGGCAAGCTGCCATGACCTCTCTCCCATAATAGAGCAACAACCAACCATGGCAGACACTGGGCTTCAAGGCACTGGGCACGTCCATCTCTGGCTCTCCAGGCCCTTGCTGGCCCAGGGTGTTGGGGAGACACAGGGGTGCTAGCTCAACCTTCTGCTCAGGCCACACCCAGCCATCGCATGTCCTGTAGCAGCCCCATGACCTCCCTCACAGGAGGTAAGCACAGCCCAAACACAGCACCTACTTGGAGAAGATGACCATCAGCTTCCTCCGGCTCCTGCGTGGCTCTGCATCCTCATCAAAGCCACCCACATCCTTCCCCAGGAAAACTTCCTGGTGGAAATCTTTGTTGAGGTGCCCGTCCATCTCCAGCTTCACCCCATTCAGATGGTCTGGGGGCAGGAGGTCCTTTTCCTCTCTGTTGGCTGCTCTCTCCCGGGGGGATGAGTGATTGGCCGGCCGTGCAGAAACCTCCATCAAAAGGACAAAACCCAGGAGCCAGAAGCAGTGTACAGCCAGGCCACAGAGGGTGGCTTTCCCAGAAGCCATGGCCAAGGGGCCAGGCTGTGAAGTAGCGGGCAAGGTATGGGCCGGGAGTGGGGATAGGGAGGAGCAGAGCTCAGCGGGAGATCACAGTTCAAATCCAAGCCTTGGGCCCTACCAAGGGCTCCGAGGACCAGCGCAGTTTGGAAAGCTCAAGGTAGATAGCACAGGATTCAGACCTCAGGAGGCGGTTAACAGTCTACAATAAAACCAAAGACTCATCACTTAGTACAAATACTTCAGGAAATGTGTTTATTTTATAACCTGAGACAAAGGTCTTTTTTTTTTTTTTGGTATAGGGAATTGAACTCAGGACCTTGCACTTTCCAGGCAGGTGCTTGTGCCGCTGAGCTATAACCTGGGCCCAAAAGGTCTTATCTATAGGATAAGACCACACACTTCTTCCCTTCAGTACAGGGATGGAACCCAGTGCCTTTGCCCTAAATTACACCCCAACTCCCTTTTAAATTTTTTTACTTTAACACAGGGTCTCACTAAATTACTAAGTTTTCCAGAGTAGGCTCAAGCTTTCAATCCTCCTGCTCCAGGGTGTTGGGGTTACAAGTGTGCACCATCATAGCTGGCTCATTTTTCTCTTTTTTAAAAACACTGGGAGCAGCCAGGCATGATATCGCATGTCTGTAATCCCAGCACTCGGGAGGCTGAGGCAGGAGGACTGCCGCAAGTTCAAGGCCAGCCTGGGCTACATAGCCAGTTCAGGGGCATCCTGAACAATACAGCAAGATCCTATCTCACACACATACACATACACACTGGGAGCCAGGTAGAGTGGTGCATGCCTGTAATCCCAATACTCTGGGAAGCCGAGGCCGGAGAAGCAAAACATTGGACAAAGCATGGGCAATTCAGCAACTTACTAGACCCTGCACAAAGCGGGGGGAGGGCCTGGGAATTTAGCTCAGTGCAAAGGCCCAGAGTTCAATCCCCAAAAGAAAGAAATAAACAAAACACTGGGTTTCCAGCTCTGCCTCCTCCTCAAAGTTGATAGCACCTCCAGGGGCTGGCAGGCCCCCACACAGGCAGCACTGTGTGATACTGTTCCTCCCTGGTCATGGAAGGAACCACAGGACTATGGCCATTCACTCTCCAGAGCCCAACCTGAGCACTCTAAGGTCTGTGACCTTGGCTAGGTCACCTAACCTTCCTGGTTCCAGTCTCTCACTAAGAATCTGGATGCTCCCTGGCCCTTATCCCAAGACCTTCGAGGACTGGGCACCGTTCCACATATATATGTACCCACACACGTTCTTGCTCACAGTCCAGGAGGAACACCAGGAAGGCTCAAGTACCCAGGAAGTCTGTCCTGGCACAGAGGGACTCCTGTTTTTTCTGTAATCGGTCCAAGTGGCAAACACACCTACCAGTCCCCCCCAGGTCCAGCTGGGGCCCAGTGTGTGTCATAGCCGTCTCTTGTCCTACAACTTGCTGATCTGGACAAGCAAGGATCCCCTCACTCAGCTTCTGTAGCCTTGTACCACTGGGCCAGCTGCACACAGCAGACTCACCAAATGCTGCTGCTGGGTATATCAAACAGCAGCCACTTGCTTCCAGGCCAAGACGTATCTGGGGCTCCCTTACGATGGATGGGCCCAGAGAGAACTGCAGCCTGCCAGGAGCCAGAAGGGCCTCAAGTGCCCCCAAGGAAGAGAACCCCAAAGCTGGTGCTGTTGGATGTTCTCGGGGCTGCTGAGAGCTGTCTCTTCTTGCTACAGGTGTGACTCTATTCCTGGGTCCCAGCTCTCCTGACCAGGCAAGCAACGAGGAAGAACCAAGACAACTTCTTCCTGGTGTTAACTCACTAACTGCCACCATAAAACTACACACTGTGTGCAAACACAGCGTACTTTGCTCCCACTCCCTGGTCGTGAGGACTGAACCCAAGGAGCACTGTGCTACATCTCAAAACATTTTTAAAAATTTTGAGACAGGACTCAAAGGTCCAAGTCTCCTGCCTCAGTATCCTAGCTGGATTTATCCATGTGCATCACCACATTTGCTTTGCACTTTATTCCTTAAAAGAACGGACAGTTCTCAATTCTGCTTATCTTGATGAATTATGTGCAATAGTTCATTACCAACTGTTATATGTAAAATGTAACCCAAAATAATTACAGACACCAGGCATGAGGAGTGAAACCTCCAGCCCTCCAGGCACAGGTTTCACCCTACTGTGACAGCAACAGCAGGACTGAGCTAGCTAGACAGCTGCTCACTCAGCAGTGTCTTCCTATCCCACAGGACAGCATTTCAAGGGGCAGGTGGCCAGTTTCCAACAAGCAGTCAATGAACCCTTGATGGACAAGTTGGAAACACCCTGGGGGGAGCGCTATCTGCAATTAATCGCAGCCCCAAAATATTACTATTTACCTAGGCTGTTTGGAGAGAGAGAGCACTTTAGTAACTTTATCAGTCTCTCACCACAACCGTTCTGTTTTATTGTTTGCTAATTTTGCTGATGTTTTCCTGGGCCTAATGTACAAGCTAAGCTTCGCCACTGTCACACACGGGAAAACACAGCCCAAGTAGGGTTCAGAACTACCCGAGGCTCCCGGCCCCGAGGCGACCCGTGGATACGGGGACCTCTTAGTTTCCTCATGTGTGGGCTCAGCTCTAGGGAAACACGACTCCGTTTCAGAGCGCTGATGCTTTAGAGACAGTTCTAAAAGCGCTCGCCAGACCCGCCGCTGAGGCCGAGCCAGGCCACGGCTACCGGGGATCATGACGCACATTTTACCGAAGAAGACACCGAGACAGAGACGCTGGGCCCGCGCCCGGGCCCCTCGCTGGTCGGGGCTGAGCCCCCGCCTCTCCAGCTTCAGTTTCCCAAGGGACCGTGGGTTCGGGCAGTAACACACTGGGTGAGGCTGGAAGCAGGACCCGCGGACTCGGCCCGGCCCAGGGCGGCAGCCACCACGGCCTCCGGGTCCGCCCCTGGCGGTGGCGCCACTAGACCCCGGGCTGCAGTGCACGGCGGTAGCGAGTGCCCTCACTCACCGGCCTCCCGCAGAGCAGGGTCCGGGGAGCGCAGCGGAGCGTCCGCGACGCCAGCAGCGGCTCAGCTCAGGCTGCCGCCATCTTTCTTTCGGGAAGAAGCAGGCAAGCCGGCTAGGGGCGGGGCGAACGGGCGCGGCCTTCCTCGCGGACACCGGCGCCGCCATATTTTCTCCGGGCGGAAGCGGCCCCACGGCCGCCCCAAAAAGGCCAGTGAGAAGGGCGTTCGCGAGCACGTGATAGCCGGTTTCGGCCCCGGCCTTGCCGCCGCTGGTACCCCGCCGGATCACAACGCCCCCGGTTCGCTGCCTCGGGCTCCACTCACCGCCCAGGCAGGGAGCCCCCTCGAACGCAGTCGTGCGCACGCGCCATGCGCACGCACCGCCCTATCGCGCCCGCGCACTCGACACGCGCCCGCCCACGATGAAGCTGCTTCGGCGCGCGTGGCGGCGCCGAACGGCGCTTGTCCTCGGCGGCCTTGCGTTAGGCGGTGCCGCCCTGCTGTATTTGGCGCGCTGC